ATGTCAACATGCGAGTCATCAGTGTGACGATTCGCTGTGGCAACCCCTAAACGGGAAAAGCTGAAAGTGACTTTCTTTACTCAAGCAAGTCTCAAGACGTCAAATTTGCAACTTAAGTCGGACTCAAATCATGTCATGTAACTCGAGTCCCCCACATCTGCTACTTCGATTAAGAAGATTAAGATTTTCTTTGGAAGTGAGAAAAGAGTTTATACTTTTATTTGCTCTATACATTTCAGGCACAGTTTGCACCAATGCTGCACATCAAGCAGCACAGTGAAAGTCTCCCAGTCTTCCCTGTCCACACTAGACTAAAGTGACCAGGTGAACCCCACAATGAAGGGCTGTGCTCTGAGACTTGTGTCAAGCACAGACACAAAATAAACATGTTCTGTTTCTCCCAGATTTACTGTCCAAATTGGAAAGCTTATTTGTAGATATGACTGAAACATAATGACTCATCATGCTGTGAAGCATAACTGGCATCCAAAATACCATCAGAGCTCTCATTTGTAATACTGCAGGCTCCAAAATTCTTGACCCAGTATATAAAGAAAAAGAAACTAAACAGATGCTAAGATACTGATTAGAAATTACTAAAGGGCTCCAAGAATAACTAGTCCCATGTGAGTCAGATTTTATTTTGGAGTAGATAATGCAGTGCTGGCTCACACAGGAAGTTCACAGTGATCAGACAGTATGCGATAAAGCAGAAGCGTGTCTGAACGTAGTCTGAACAAAATCAGGTAATCCTTTGCACCAGAAACTGCCTCTGAGTCACTCAGAGCCCGAACTGCACAACTCCCCTACATCAAATCACCAAGACTGGAAACTGAAAAAAAGCTATGCATCTACTATAAATCAGAGACAATGACACTTCACCTCAGCGTGCATGGTCACAACATCGGATCCTTTTTCCTTTATACAATCTCAGTTTTCCTCACTCTACTGTGACTCGGTAAATTCATTTCTTTGGTGAATTGTTGACAAGAAGATGATATAAATGGATTGCAGCAGAAGCAGCAGGAAGCAGCTGGTTCAGTCCTGTATGACTATTTTTGGTGAATTGAATTTGCTGTGCTGTTGCTGTGATCTGACATGCATCCGACATCCTTATCTGCACCTTAAATCCACTGGCCATGTAGCAAAAGCAGCACACAACACTAACAGCAGCTCCAGTCTTTCCCCATAGGCCAAACACATTGATTTGTCATAGCAGGCAAAGCACAGGTGTTACTAATGACATTAACAATGGCTTTGTTGTATTCAAGTGTCCCAGTACAGCATAAGGCCAGGACCCTTCAACTGAGTCAGCTAAACAGAATTCAGTTGTCATTCATCACATCATCTCTTCCTACTGAAACACATCGCTTACTGCTGAGTGACTTATACAACCGAGTGGAGATACATGCAAGCACTAACCAATTTTCCATGCTTGTGTCTGTTTTAGTCTCCCACCGTCTGACTGTTCTCTGTCCACTGCAGCTGAAATCAAACTTTGCCGATGCTGTAAACCCAGAAAGAATGGCACTGGTGCTCCTTTTCACACATACATCATATTCAACCCTGCAGCATTCAGCATGCTCCCCAGCACAAAGCATAATGTGATTTCAGACACACACACACAAATAAACATACACACCGAGCTGAGAAATAATATCTTCCTGTCCTGAGGATGAGCTATTGATTGTGGCAAGCCAAACACAAAGTTTCGATTTACACATTTAGGGCCTGACAGCATCCGTGTCGGCCACGTGGCTGTCGTTAGTGGCAAAATGCTCATAACTTACAGCATAAATGGCTCAACAGGAACCTAAACCACTAAACACTCTGCTTGGTCTAACAAAGGAAAGGAAGGGGACAGATACTCAGAAAGGAGAGATGTGTTCAATTAAAACATGATGACATCACTGAGCAACACTGTTATGAGCAGAAATGTTGCTTCTGCTCCATCTGTTTCACATTTGTGGCTGTTTGGAGGCTGCAGAAAACAACATGCCGGAGGAAGACGAGGGTCATTTGTACTTGTGTGGGCTGTTTGTTTTCCCCTGGTCTCAGCTGTGCAGCCATTGCAGGTGAGTGTACGTGGGAGTGGTGAGTTGTTTTTATTTACAACTATCCTCTGTGTTGTTGTGAAATCTCTTATTAAAGACAATCAACTCTCTCTAACACACTTCTCGTGCTTAAGAATCGAGCAACAAAAATTAAGTAATGAATTCTAGGGACAATTACCTGAATAACATCCATCAAGACCAAATTCATTAAATGGTGGTTTGGAAATCGTTTTAATACACTTTTATTCACACACACACACACACACACACTCAACAGAAGAAGGCAGTTAATAGTAAAGTAATGCAGAGTTACAGCATCAACTCTTTATAAGCCACTCAACGCTAATAAATCACTTAGAAACCAATTTCATACTATAGCAGAGAAGGGGGGTCTGGACTGAAAAGAAGAATTAGCAGAGAAAAGGGAGAAATGATGGAGGAGAGAAGGCATGAGAGAAGAAGGAATGAGGACCTGGGCTTGATAGAGGGATGTGAGGAGGACTGGCAGAGGACACATAACTACTGGGACAAGAAGACAAACCGGATCAGGAGACATGAATAAAGACAACCTTGGCTGAGTTGGGCATTATGGGAGTGTTGCCCTGACAGAGGAAAAGGAAAGGTAAGCCAACGGGGGAAAGGAAACACGGGGGGGGGCGCTAAATATGTTCTAAAACCTGTGTGATGAACATCTTTCATAAGTTCAGTCAGTCTTTAACCACTGTCCCTACAGGTGTACAGTCGACCAGACAAGCCATCTGATGGGGTTAATAAAAAAAATGAGGAGCCCTAAAACCTGTACGATGCCGATGTGTGAACCTGGACCGACAGCTTCAGTGAATAAAGTAATTCCTCATCTGAGATGTCTAATTTCATTTCAGCAGCTTCAGCTTAATATACTCCTTTCATTATTCATCCCCTCCTTCCTCCGTAATATTAGAAACAAAGTACAGTCATTTGAATGGGCACATAAAATGACAGATGCCCCATGTCAGAAATGATGAATTAAATTATATCTTGTTCAGGAGATAGAGCCCAGGCAGCTACACGGGTTAAACAACTGTCTGAGTGTTTTCTCGGTGACCAGGTGAATGGAGAGGTTGGTGCACGGCCGTGCTGCAGAAGCACAGTGTTATTGAAACTGCTGAACATAATGTTTAATTCATGGATGCCTTTAGTCACTGAGGCTGGAAAATCCATAAGTTACTTTCAAGTGGGAAGATGTGCAGTGAGTGCGAGTTCGAAGCTTGTTAGGTTTCTGTAGTGCAGGCTAGGTGTATGAGTGCAGGCTACCCCCCCACCCCCCACCCCCCAGTCGCAGCGGTGCAGTTCCACAACAGCAACAACACCACACAAGCACAAGCATTTAAACAAACCAGCACACCTCTGCACCTCTTACATTTTCCTCCAGCACTGCAGCTGTTTGTGTACTTTTCTATATTTTAATGCACCACCGTCAAATTGAGATGCTTTTTCATATAATCTGCAAACAAATGAGACAGCAGGTAAAGCAGGTTAATGGGAATTTTACATGGAGCACATGCAGCCGTTGCTCTGTGTGATGACGCATGATGTCATGGGTTAAACCAAACTTACTGCTGGTGAAAATGGGAAAAATTTTACCTTGGAGATTTTTTTTAATGCCACACTTCACCAGAGGTATGTGTTCCCTTGGCTGTGTATTATACGCATGTACTGCCAGTTATATAATTTGTTTTTAAATGACATTCAAATGAATGACAGTGGTTTTTATGTCCAAGTCTCTCCCTTGGTTTTGCTTTACTGATGCTGAGAACCCATAAACTAGTAACTTCCAACTCAGAATTTGTTCTTGGTCCAGTTGCCTGGTTAATCCATGGTTAAAATATAACAAAGAGAGAAAGAGAGATACAGCTGAATAGGCCAAAAGAAAATGTGACTCACACAGAATCACAGACTGGAAAAGGCTTCGAATAGACCTTGTATTAATCTGCAGGCAGAGCCAATGGAGAAGCTCCTGGGAGGCTATTAGCTTCAGGACTATTCAGTGCTCCATTTGGATTAGGCTGCACTGGGACGGGGATTAAACCAGCCCTGCTGCCACATTACAATAGATCCAGCAGGCCCCACTGTACCACTGGGTCACCTTTGCTGCTGCTGTTCTTTGAAAACAGCACAAAGACACTCAGATACAGGAGATATCTCAGTTCTTATTAATATGGAAGTTTTATGGCACAGTTTGTATGCTTTGGATAACTCTTCTCCATCCCTGTCAAAGCCCTGTGTCTGTCACTCAGTCCTCCCTGATTTATTCAGTCTACAGTGTCTGGTCCCCGACCTCCCTGACCATTTGTAGTTTTGTTGTGCATTTACTGTGCATGTGTTGCCTCGTTTAGTCTTGAGTTATTATTTTAGCCTTGGTATAAAAACTTGGAAGCAGCCACAGTCCTGGCTGCTGAGAAGACCTTCCCAAACTCATAGTAACTATCAGCCGTTTTAAAACTAGTGACTGTTATTCATGTGTGCACACAGAACAAGGCACTGCATGTGTTGGAAAGACTGTACAGGAGCATTCATGCAGTTTAGAATAAAAGGAAAACATCTGATTAAGCAACTTAACCAACTGTAACTGGTGAGTCTGTCAGCATAACATTTTATAATTTAAGGTATACTGTACAATTTAAGGGAAATAAAGTTAGTTAGTGCATATTAATTATTATTTTGTTCTTGCTTTCAGTGTTGCTCAGGCACTCCAGTGGGGGCAAACAATTCAAGACAGCAAATATTCAAGTTAACAGTTGATAGTCAAGAATGGTAAACAATAATAAATAATAATAATAATGCCAGCTGCCAAATGATAGCACCATTAACAATAGTGACTCCTGCAACAACACATGAAGCATGGCCTGTAGGAACCCTAATACCTGACGCAGTGAAACCACTGTCCTAACCCCGCTGAGGACGAACCTCTCTGTGATTAGAAGTCCATCGATGTGGCTGGTCTGTAGCACAAAGCACCTGCAATCACATTAAAGGACATCCTGAGGAGCATTAAGGATTTTTATTCAGCAGTCACCGATGCATGTGTGCTGACTGAACCATTTTCTTTACAGTAGTGTGCATACATTCAAGCGGGGGCATTCAGAGCTGCTCAGAGAGTTATTTATTCACGCAGTGCAGTAGAGTAGAGCTTCGGACAGGCATTTACATATAGAGTATTTTGAGGTCCAGATGAGTTTTAGTCTTGCCTGAAAATGTTGCAGCATAGGACATTAAACACAAATGTGGTGTTTTACTTCACAAAAAAGGAGGGCAGCAATTGAAAAAAGTGAATTTTAGATGGAGAGATCGAGGGGAAAAAAGCACAGGAAGTTCAGTTTTCTAGCACCAAACTGTCTCTGGTATCTGAGGATCACTAGTCACTTTGCCATCTGACCAGCGGTCAACACCAGCAATCTTCATTTGCACCCCTTCATCTGTTCACATCAGCAACAAAGACAAAGTGAGAATACAACGTGAAAAGTAAAGGGGGCGAAAGTGAGAGAAAGCAGCAAGGATGAAAAGCAGATGTCGCCTAGAATCAAAGTGAACAATCAGAGGCTTGTGCTTCATTTCCTGTGTTAGCTTCAGAGGGCAGAGCCAAAAAGAGGAAGCGAGCATCATTAACATGGAACGTTCGATCCCTTCTGCTCTGGCGACAGGCAGAGGTCTGCTTCGCTTCGCTCTGTGTCATCTACAATTTTAAGAAAACACCACACTGCTGCCTGAAGGCACCAATCAGCAAGGGACACGTCTGCTTCATGGCTGTGAACAGAGGGTGTCCTGGTGGGAGGAAAAGCTTGTGGCTTGTAACCAAAAGCCCTTTGATGACAGGAAGTGAAAGTGGGTCCTTCACACTGCCTTTAAGCGGGGAATTTAACCCCTACTGAAATTAAGTTATACAACTGATTTATAACCAAGACACTATGCTAAAAGCCATACTATGCTAAAGGCTCTGCTAAAATCGGGATGAGTGGAGAATATCCCCCCATTATTTCAGATGCCTTTGAGCAAGGTGTCGAGTCCACAGGAGACCCAGTGCTGCAGCAGAAGGAAAAGCTCTTTGTGGTGGGAAGGGAATAAAACTCCTTCACTACAAACATGCTGGTGTTTTTCATATCAAGATTCAGCACAGATAATCTTGCAGGCAGATGTGGGAGAAAAAAGTCAGGAGGACAACGAAAATCTCCCTGGGAGAAAGAGAGAGCTGACAGAGAGGCACAAAAACCTCTCAAGGATGTCATTATCTCTGAAGTCCAGTGCAAATAAATATCCATAAATCAACTCAAACAGAAAAAAGGATGCTTCAGAACTTGCCAGAGAATCATTATACGTTTAAGTTTTCTTCAGTAACCAAGTAACCTAAGGACACGTGGGTAATTCAGACATTTTTGCCCTGTAAACAAGTATCAGCTAAAAACTGGGCTCAAAAAAGAATAACAGTAGTTGAGCTGTTCTGGGCTCTTGCTCTCCTGATAGCTTTTACTTTTTCTCCTCATCATATTTGTGTCCAAACAGGCTCAGAGAGTTCACTGAAAAACAGCAGATAACTGCAGCTGTAATTATTACTAGAGAGGCAGTGAAACATTATCCACATACAGTCTCCAGACTGGATCCAAACTACTGACCAGAGCATAGGTAATATTAAAATCACCTTCCCTAGAGAAACAAGCACAACGTACATTCTTGAATTCATTCCTCACCAGCAGAACCGCTGTTCTGTTTGTAACCACTGAAATGTAATCAAAACACAAAAAGCTTCACAGTTCAAGAGAATGACATGTAATTATAATACTGTGAATGGGTGTACGAGTGTCAGTGTGAAACAAGACGTCTCTGTACAAAAGCCTGCAACAGAACTTCTCAGTTTAAACAAAGGGTTCAG